AATAGTTTGACGAAGCACTGCACCACAGATGAGATATTCCAGAACTTCTTGGAGACGAACTATTTGAAGTTTTCTCATCTGATGCTTGTGACTATTAAAGCAAAGAGGAAGGACGAGTACACCGAAGGCGACCTTGAAAGGATGACACCCACGAACATAGACGACCTGGACTGATACAGCGACGATGGAATTTTTCCCATCAGATAAATAGTGTGGGTCCCGGGCCCTAGGCCACTGATGTGGCCCGTCTGTCCAGTCTGGGGAGGAGACTGGCCGTGCCTGGCGAGGTAGAGAGCTGCGGCGCCGTGAACGGTTGCTGAGATTCGCCTCATACAGGTGGGCGCCAGACACCTGGGCCGCGAGACGCTCTTTTGCACCCGAGAGCCACGTGGGTAGCCTGTCCACGCGCTCGCGACACCGGCTATATTCGGACTTGATAGTTGGTGGGTCTTTTCAGCGACTTGCCTCTTCGAGGTCGGTTGCCCCTGACAGGTCCACCGTGGGCCTACTTCTGTGAAGGACATGGAGAGCCGCAGCTGCCTCTCCTGCGTTGATTTCTGCGTTGTGGAAGCGAAGTTCCACCAGTTGACCTTCGACCTTGTCGACTGTAAGTGCTGATTTGTTCGTCATAGGCTTGCGCCGCCCTGCTCAGCCACGCGAGACATTGCAGGTGCCAGTGTCAGGTTGTGGATAAGATTGCCGGCCTCCCGGCGCAATGCAGTTAGAAGGGAATTGTGAATGAAGAGATAGAGCAGGGGCGGCTGCTTGCCCGCTGACTTTTCTGGGCCCAAGCTTGAAAAGTCGAGTGGAGGAGGAGGGAGAGATGGAGGGGGAGGGGGAGGAGGAGGAGGAGGAGGAGGGGGAGACGAACGAGAAGGAGACGAAAAGGAGATGGAGAAGGTGGCAAAAGACGCTCAGGAGGAGGAGGAAGGAGGTGGTATTCTGACCCGGGACCCCCCCCCCCCAACCCCCCGGAACCCACCCCAGGACCCCCGCCGGGACCTCCCCCAGGACCCCGCCCGGGCTTCCCCCGGGACCCCCGTTCTGACCCGGGGGCCCCCCCGGGACCCCCCCAGGACCCCCCCCAGGACCCCCCCCGGGACCCGCCCCGGGTTTCCCCCGGGACACCCCCCCCCCGCCGGGGAAGGGAACAAAGGGGCGGGGAAACCCTTCGAGTCAATTTACTTTACGCAGGAGGAAGAGAGGAAGGAGGAGGAGGAGGAGGAGGAGGAGGAGGAGGGGGAGACGAACGAGAAGGAGACGGAGAAGGTGGGAAAGGGAAGAAGGCACACGGACGAGAAGAACAACCCATCTCCACGCGCCGACAAGGTCGGCGGATGACGGGAAGCGCGCCAAGATTCGAAGAGTCGCGCGATGGACCTCTGTTTGCCCAGAGGGATTTACTTATCAACTGGGGGAGGTTTGGAGGGGGAACGTGCGGCGCCGCCTCGTGATACAGAGCCTGGCGGATGACGGGAAGCGCGCCAAGACTCGAAGAGTCGCGCGATGGACGTCTGTTTGCCCGGAGAGATTTATTTATCAACTGGGGGAGGTCTGGAGGGGGGACGCGCGGCGCCGCCTCGTGGTCGGGGGCCTGGCGGATGACGGGAAGCGCGCTTAGACTCGAAGAGTCGCGCGATGGACGTTGGTGCAGACCCGGAGGGAAATATTTATCAACTGGGGGGAGTGCAGAGATGGGAAGAGCTCGGGGTTGCTCCTCCATCAGCCCCAGGCGGATGACGGGAAGCGCGCTTAGACTCGAAGAGTCGCGCGATGGACGTTGTTTCCGGGCCCGGAGGGAAATTTATCAACTGGGGAGGTCCAGGAGGGGAAGGGCTCGGGGTGCCTCCTTCGGACGACCCTGGCGGATGACGGGAAGCGCGCTTAGAAGGCCCTGACTCGAGCGATGTCGAGCGACACAGATTTGCCTGCGGGGTCGCAAACCTCCGCGCAGCATGCAAGTGCGATGGCATTGTTACGATGTTTTGTCCTTTGCCTCCTTTCGCGAGCTGTCGCCGAGCTGGATATTACGCGCTGGAGGGCCGAGCGCTGGACGGCGGCGCGACCGCCCTGGAGTCTCGTGAGGTTGCAGTCAATGACCGACAGAGGCGAGCCAGTGCACAGCATGCGGGGTTACCACCGAGCCTGCCGCACCACCCCCGCCAGAGGGCGAGAGTGGTATAAGGGCGACCTCTACGAGGGCCAGGACGCAGTGGCGAAGCTATGCAGAATGGCGGCACTCAACGGTGCTGTACTCGTCCCATCCCTTCTTCCTGCCATTTCCCGCTCATCGCGGCGAGGCCTCTTCAAGGTATGGTCAAACAAAGCCGAGACTGTGCTGGTGCCTAACCAATGGGACAAAGTTCTTCGACATTCAGCTGCCGCACGGGTAGAAGTAATTGCTCTACGGGGCACCATTGGCAGTGCCAATGGTCGCAGCACAATGGCGCGCAATCCTGGGGTGGGGACTTGGTGTTGTGGATGTGACCCCCCCCAGGGTCCATGGGCCATCCGCACGCTGAAGGCTCCACCCTTTCGGAGGGCCTCCTGCTCTGTAATCTCAACCACAAAAGGGGGCGGAGGGAGGATAAGGGAAGAACGGAAGGAGAAAAAGAAGGAGGATGAGGGAGGAGTATCAGGAATGATGATAAATAAGGAGGATCAGGGAGGATGAGACGGAATGAGGATAGCGTTCCCGTTTTTCTCTCGTCAGTTAGCGTTATTTTTTATGTTGGCCTTTATCGTTTTGCTATAAGTGTGTAGTTTCGCGTTGTGTCTCGGTTGTTGGTGTTGTTGTTGCTGTTGTTGTTGTTGCTGTTGTTGTTGTTGTTGTTGTTGTTGTTGTTGTTGCTCGTGTTCGTGATCGTGCTCGTGCTCGTGCTCGTGTTTGTTGTAGGTGTTGCCGCAGTTGCAATCGCAAAAGGGTAGTGGAGGTAGTGGGGGTAGTAGCAGTAGTAGCAGGGGCAGTAGAAGTAGTAGAGGTAGTAGGGTTCCTAGAAGTAGGTCGAGCGGGTAGTGTCAGCATAGCCGCAGGGTAGTAGAAGTTATGAGTCGTATGTGTAGTATGCGTAGTATGCGTAGTATGCGTAGTATGCGTAGTATGCGTAGTAGTAGTAGTAGTAGTAGTAGTAGCAGCAGTAGTAGCAGTAGTAGCAGTAGTAGCAGCAGCAGCAGTAGTAGTAGTAGTAGCAGCAGCAGCAGCAGCAGTAGCAGTAGCGGTAGCAGTAGCAGTAGCAGTAGTAGTAGTAGCAGCAGCAGCAGCAGCAGCAGCAACAGTAGTAGTAGTAGTAGGAGGAGGAGGAGGAGGAGGAGGATCAGAACGCACCTTGCGGTAAAGCAAAAACGGTGACGCGACCACTATTTGGGAAAAAGAGCGCCCAGCGCACATTCTTCCAAAAAGTGGTCGCCGAATCGCGGGCGGACTCAGGCCGATCCTGCTGCTCGAGAATCGAGAAGGACGAGGAGGAGGAGGAGGAGGAGGAGGAGGAGGATGAGGAGGAGGAGGAGGAGGAGGAGTCAAGTACAAGTACAAGTACAAGTACAAGTACAAGTACAAGTACAAGTACAAGTACAAGTACAAGTAGTATAATTAGGAGGGTATAATAGTAGTAGTAGTAGTAGTAGTAGTAGTAGTAGTAGTAGTAGTAGGAGGAGGAGGAGGAGGAGGAGTGCGTGGGGGTCAGTCGGCGTACTGCCGTAAGGCATCTATCATGAACATCTCTCAATGAGCAGCCCCCCACGCACACCGCAAGCATAGTTTTTCCCCAAGGTGGCACCGCCGCCAGCCGCCACCAATTGATTCGAACGAGCAGTTTATCCAGCCCCTAGCCTAGAAGTTTAGATGTGGGCGCTGGTGGTTCGCTTCTGGAGCCACACGCCGCACGGGTGATTCTTGTAGCGACGCTTCGGCGCAGGCTTCACTAGTTTACCATTCTTCACCTGCTTACTTACCCTTACATTTCGTCTTGAAAGGACAGGCTCACTGAACAGATCGGAACGATACTTGCTCGCCACTACGGTCGGCTTGCTCTTGTTGTGTTTGTTCTCGTCGTCGTCGTCGCTGTCGCTGACGATGATGATCGGTCTCGGTGCACGCGACCGTACCGCCCGTATATTGGCCGTCACTGTCGGTGCGGATGGTTTTGCCCGAAGCTTCGCCACATGTTTTTGCTTTGCCCGTTCGTGCTCTGCCCTAATCGCTTCAACTTCTCCTGGAAGGTAATCCCATATCGACGAATGGCTGAATATGTCGATCTTCGCAAACTCATCACCCCCGGATGCCGCCATCAGCCCTAACACGCGGGACGGGCGCCCACTATAGAGGCCGTGGCAGAGGCGTCTTGGGCCTCCAGAACTACACAACGGGCAAGGGAAGACAGGGGGGAGGTTGAAGTAGAAGGGGGAGGAGGATGCATGATTCCACAAATAGTGCTTGCACGTATGGGCTCTTACTTAGCCATAAATAGCTCACGCAGCCGCATTGCTATAACTCACTGTTTGGGGCCCACGTTGTCTTTTTGAGCAAGTTGCATGTTCATGAGCCGCGGCCACAGCAGTAGTCACATATCTTCGGATGGCCCTCGAGGCGTGCTCTAGCAAAGAGCCCTCGAGGAGATAAAAACACAACTGGCCCTCGAAGATGAGAGCCAGGTGTCAAGAGTCAGAGCACCTCTCTAGACGGCCTGGGACTTACTTTACACTACGTAATCTGTAAACAGTAAATGCCCGTCGCACGCCTTGATTGCTTGTTGCTTGATGGCTAGATGTGGATCCTCCCTCCTCCCTCCCTCATCCTTGATTCATCCTCCCTCCCTCGTCCTCCCTCCACGAAAACTGCAAAACTGCAAGACAAGAAGCGAGCTAACAGCCTGCTCCCAAGCTGAAATCCCAAACCGTAACAATGGTACGGTTCCTCGCTGCATGCCCCTCAAAGCTTTAGTCTTTCTGGTTCACAGCTCTGGTCTCCAGGCTGGCTCACGGCTCCGGTGGTTGGCCTCCCCCTAACGAAGCAGGTGTTTCGGACCAACCTTGGGGCCTTTACCCTTGCCCTGTCCCTTGCCTTTGCCCTTGCCCTTGCCCTTCGGATTGGTACTCACCTGCTCAGATATATCATCCCTGCTCGCTGCCTGTGGGCCGATATCGCCATCGTGAGCGTGCTTCCAGTTCGTCTTTGGCACGAGCGCGTAGAAGGTTACGTCCACCGTCTCCGTCTTCAACGCCAGCGCATCGTTGTAGGTGAACTTCATCTTGGCCGACTGGCTAACGCACGTGAAGTTGGTCTCGGACTCCTGAACTTGCTGAGAGACCTCTGGTTTCGCCTTCGCCTTTGCTTTCGCCTTCGGCGCCGGCTTGTGAGGAACATGCCAGGCCGTAGAACCAACAACTGCGTCCGCAGCAGGCGGCACGAGGTAGAACGTCTGATCGAACGCAGTGCAGATCGGAAGCGCATTCTTCGACGGCACCCTGGATATGTCACCGGTGAAGACAATGCGCATCGTGGTCGGCATGGGCGTCTTGACGAACAGGGTGTTCGGATCAGGATTCGGATCGCTGTGCATGATGCCGATGTGGTCTAACTTGGCTTCTGGCTTGATTATGAACTCCTCCTTGACTCTGCGCACGAACTGCTCCATCTTGCCCTTGTTCTTTTCCGCCTCTTCCACCGGGTCGGCTGTAGCGGGGATGCCCATAATAGCTCCACTGTAAATGAACGCCTTGAGCTGAGTCATGAAGCAAGCCACGACTGGCGCCTCGACCTTTCCATCAAGAGTGACCTCGCTCCTCTGACTGCAGATGCTGTGAAACTTCTCGTATTTATCTTCATTGTCGGCATTGGGATCCTTAGCCTTTGCCGCCATGGACTCGTCCTTCTTCTCTACCTGGGTTGCTGATGCTGGCTGCGGCGATGCCAACATTGGCGCCCCTGCATGGGCGGTGTTCAGGATGCTCTCGATGTAAGGGTCGACGGCGCGAACAACCTCAACGGGAACCGCCTTGGTTGGGTCGGAGCCGCAAGCCTTCGCCAACAACTTGGACCAGTAGTCAGCCCAGGAGGTGAAATTATCCTGCATGGTGTCTGCAGCAATCGTCTTGCTCATGTCCCCGGTGAGCAACGTCGATACCACCGTGTCGTAGTCAATCTTAGTCATCTTGTCGTGGCCGCAGCCGAGACGCTTGAGCATCAATAGGTTCCACTTTGTCCTGACCCCAATGAACAAGTCGAGGGGCTCAAAACCTTCGAACAGGCCCTTGCTCAACGTGACAACCTTATCGCTCGCAGGATCAGCGGAGCCCGAGCTCCCATCTTCATGCATTATGGTCGCAATCATGGTGCCTGCGCTGATCAAGTCCGCGGGCACTGCATTGTACACGACAGGAGCAGTGAGTCTGAACAGGTCCTGCAAGCTGGTTATGTTGTCGCCAGCTTTCACAACCTGCATGGGGAAGCAACCGATTTACATTCTCCACCGAAAGACCAGGGTCAAGAGGACGAGGATTTGGAGATGGAGGGGGAGCAGGAGGGAGAGAAGGAGGAGGAGGAGGAGGAGGTGGAGGAGGAGGAGGAGGAGGAGGAGGAGGAGGAGGGAGAGAAGGAGGGGGAGGAGGAGGAGCAGGAGGCAGGGGAGGAGGAGGAGGAGGAGGAGGAGGAGGAGGAGGAGGAAGAAGGGGAGGAGCAGGAGGAAGGGGAGGAGGGTGCAAAGCATTTGCTGTCCCGGACGACCTCCATCAGCTCCGCGAACATATTCTGGAACGCTGGGCACAGCGCAGTGGAAGAGGAGGTCAGGTCGTTGGCCCTCATGAAGGCGACTCCCTTGTTGACCGTGGCAAGAGAGAGTACTTTTCCCAGTCGCAGCTCGATCGAAGACTTCGGGCGCGTCGATGCTGCACCTGAATCGGTCTGGTCCAGCCTGTCCATCATGCTCTTGAGGATATCGTCGGATGATGCAGCCCCGTCGAGCCCGATATCAACCTGGAGCGCGCGCAGGTTTGTCCTGACCAGCTCCTCCTTCACGCTCCTGCGGACGTGGCTCCAACCCGTCTGCATTTTACCATTGATCATGATCTCCGTCTTCAAGAAGAACTCGATGGCCTGGCGAAACGCCTTCCGCATAGAATTTATGATGATATCGTCCTCGATGCTTGCCGTCCCCATCTGGCATGCCTTCATTACAACGCTGCCAACGCACTGCATCACGTCGTGCACCCACAACTTAGGCGTTCCACTGGACGTAACATTACTGTCGAAGTCGCCTGCCTCGGCACTGTCCAGAATCTCATTGAGACCCTCATTGGCACCAGACCTCCTCTGCTTCTTTTTGGGCGGCTTGATGCCCGCAGCCGATCCGCTTTTTTGGGGAAGGTAGAGCACAGAGCCACCCATTGGGTATTCTAGGTCATCCAGGGTTTTTGACTTGCAGACGCTGTCCAAGAGGAACGGAACGAACTCCGTAGCACCATTCACGAGAGGGACCGTGGCCGTCAAACACTCAAAGAAGAACCACTTAAGGAGCTCAGGCTGGATGGTCTTGGTGAACTTCTCGCGGTAGAGGATGCACTTCAAGTAGTGGGCGTGGTTCACGGACGCCTTGTTGGAAAACCCGTTGCGAGAGAAATCGCATTGGGTCTCCAGTAGGTCCAACCACGCACTGAGCTGGCCGTTCGTTTCGAGCTGGGTGTACACAGATTTGGCATTGTCGTAATCTTCCCATTGGGCATACTCGTCAGAGTAGTTTCTCAGTATGTAGTCCTCGTACAGCTTCTCGTACCTGTATGGCCCAGCTTTGGGGCAGCTGTGCACCGTGATCGAATGGATCTGGCAGTGCGAGCGCCAGCCCGCGCGCGCTTCTGCAACGGCCCGGTAGACTTCAGCGAGCGTGGTCGCTTGACCCGAATGCCAGTTGTTGTGATTCTTCTTGAGAAACGTAATGTCCTCATCAGACATATTGCTTGATAAGATCAATGTGTTGGAGACTCCGCTGGCCATCAAAGCCTGACAGTGCTTGTTGTTGGGTTTCTCGGCGATCGCGTCGTAGATGGCATCGAAGAGGGTCCCGCCTCCGATTGCCTCGTACTCCATCTTGTCCGGAAAGCACTCCTTGCCCGCCGGGGGGATCAGGATAAGCGTGCCTCGACAATCCTCCAGCACGCCATGTTGCCAGATCCCAAGCTTGTACTTGTTGACCGTCTGGTCCAACCTCCTCCTGTTCAAGCGGTGGCGCGTGACCAGCCGCTCTCCTTTCGGGCCGAATAGCTTCACGGTTTTCCCACGCTTCACAGTATGCATTCTGAGAATGCTATTCCATTTCTGGGCAGTGCCGCACCCCTGCTGATCATCATCCGAGCCTGTGGCGTCTAAGGAGTCGACGGGCGCTGGCTCTGCTGGGGCTGGCGGCTGCGGCACCTCATTAGACTCCATCACTGCCAATTCCAAGTGAGATAGTTCCGAAAGGGCTGGTCCAGATAGCTCACGAGAAAGACTGTATAAGCAAAGCACCTTAAGCACAAATGGCTATGGAGGGAGGAGAAGGGATAATGAGGGGCAAGGGAGGGCCAGAGGCGTGCTAATATACAGTATTTCTAGTTCGCGCGCGCGTGGCAGCCCCTGGGCCCTGGAGGTCCCCGGTCGAAAGGTAGTGGCAAATCCTTGTGGGTTTTGCGAGGTTTTACAACCGAGCTGAGTTGGCTTCAGCAACGTGGCCACTGACCGCTCCTGATCTATGGGGGCAGAGATATCTCTGGAAGGCATTGTAGGGGGGATTGGGCCGCTCAGATGTCGAGGCCCTGCTGTATGTTCTATTGTAAATGGTGATGGGTGGTGGTGATGTTGTTTTGTTGTTGTTGTTTATGATGGTTGTGGTGATGATGATATTGTTTGATGTCCTTTATGTTCTATGGTGAATGTCCTTTAATGATGCGATGGTGATGGTGATGTTGTTTTCGTCGCACTGCCCTTTACTTACTCTCGGCTCGGCAACGCTCCTGCTCGGCAACGCTCCTGCTGCATACTTCAGGAGGTGAGCTTGTGCAGCGGGAATGGCAAGCTAAACAAGCGGACAAACGTGACGTCATCGTCAGGGATGCTGCTTGATAAGATCACCGTGTTCTTGACTCCTTCGGCCATCAAAGCCTGACAGTGCTCGTTCGATGGGTCCTCGTTGATTGCTTCGTAGATAGCGTCGAAGAAGTTCCCGCCCTTGATCACCGCGTACCTCTTCAGCGGGTCCGTTTTCGAGTCTGAGCGGTCCACTTCGGCCGCTCGGGGAACCAGGATAAGTGACGATCGGCAATCCTCCAAGACACCATGCTGCAAGATCCCCATCTTTACCTGCATCACTGCCTGGTCGCTCCTCTTGTTGTTCAAGGGGTGGCGCGTCACCAGACGCTCCCGGCTTGGGCCATACAGGCCAACCGCTTGCCCACGCGCCAGGACGTTCGCACTGAGAATACGTTGCCACCTATCTGCAATGAGCTCCCCTGATGCTGAAGGGAGCGCAAGATCAGGGTGAATCGAGTGCAACGCAGCTTGAGACTCATCGTCGGATGAGGCATCCATGATTGTCGGCGAGATGCGAGGGCTGTGAACAGGTATAGCGTACACAGAGAGAGTGCCTGACAGCTTTCCGAGCACAAATGGCTTAGGCTACGGCCCAAGCATGTGTAAGATTGTGGTGCAATACTAACGATGAGGTATGCTATTGAGGCATGTCTGAGATAAGCTGATTATATTATCCAGCTGGTTGCAATGGTTCATGTGCTGGTGGTGGTGGTATTGGTGTTTGGTGGTGTTGATGTTGATGTTGATAACGATGAGTTGTTGATTGTTATTGACGATGAAACATATGTTGATGGCGATGATGTGTTTTTTGGCAGCTGTCTAACGCCTGAGGCGTTTGGAGGACAGTGCGGATGCTATAGCTGAGAGAGCCCGGAACTCGTGCAAGCGAGCTCCCTCGTCAATGGTCTCTGCTTGCATCAGAAACCACAAGAGCGCGCAGCCGACTGACGGAAGGCTCATGCCGTCACCAGCTTGTTCATATATTAAATGGCGTGATCGTTCTGGCAAGTCGAAGTCGGAGCGCTGCTGGCAAAACGATGTTGTCTCTCCAAATTGGCTCATGGAAGCGTTGACCACATACGTATTCGTGGCGAGAGTCTCGCTCGGCGTCAACCATCTTTTATGCTTAAGGGAGTAGAGCGGAAAACTCTTTTTGATCACGCAGTGCAACGTGTCTTTGCCAGCGTTGCACATGTTAACAGCATCGGGATCGTTCATCAGACTGGCAACGAAATCATCGCCTTTGCGCATGTACTTTCTCAGACGTTCAAGCTCACTCACCAGCAGGACGGCTTCGAAGCCGTCTGCGAACTCTTGGTTGTCATGAACGCCCGCACGCCTTGCAGCCCAGCTCCTTTCCATTTCGATCTCCTCCGCAGTCCCTATCGTCAACAGGTCTCTCCATGATGCCACCAACCGGCGATGAAACATCTGCACGAAGGCATCATCCCATGGGATCAGAGCCTGGCTTAATTGATGGTGAACATAGTCCCGATGAAGCAAGACCGTGTAGCGGCGTTCACGCTCTGCGAATTGCCCAAACTGCACAGCATTCAGCACTACAGATTGAATCATATATATATCGCCCAACACGGCGTGAAATATCTCGTACGCAAAGCCCGGAACATTCTCGTGCAGCACAAAAGGTTCTTGCAACCTCAATCGCATAGCCACCCACACAATGAATGCCAGCACTGTTGGCCCAGAGGCGTGGCGCCTTGACCCCAACTGACTCCATGCCACACATGGAGTTCCAGCGACATGAATAGAACACTTGGGCGCAGTACAATGTTTATTGTGCAACGTGCAACGGGCAGATGGAAGCACTAGTTTGTTCCATCTGTCTCTCTCAAAAAACATCTTGGCCAATTGTGGGTAGGATGCTGTCGCTGCAATCGTCCGCAAGCTGTCCCGGTTGAGAAGTGGGATGAAGTCCGTGACGTCTTGGTATATATGAGCTAGAGGATGTTTCAACATCTTCAACTCGTTCCGGCTCTCGTCGAACCATTCGCATGCCCACACATTTGTCGGTGTAGCGGGCTTGCTATCGCCTTGACTGTAGAAGTGGTTGAGACCGCAAGCGATTGCATCAAGTGCATTCTCTGCCCCTCCAGTCCCACTAAACGTTGTAGATACGGTACACCGCCCAAGTTTTTTCTGTATCGCATCAATGGCGCGTTGGCCTTTCCAGCGAAATATCACAGCCAAATTGTGTTCAACCCATCTATACGCATCACGTAATGATGTAACTGTTGGCGTTTCTTGCGGTTGTAGCATACAGAGCTTCACGATGAGCAGAGTCAACATGCAGAATGCTTGAACCAGAGTAGCTGCGGCAGACCGGCCCCCTGAAAGGCAAGGAGGGCGTCAGGGCAGGGTCCCGAAGGGGGCCGAGGGCTTCAGGGCAGGGTCCCGAAGGGGGCCGAGGGCTTCAGGGCAGGGTCCCGAAGGGGGGGAGAGCTTCAGGGCAGGGTCCCGAAGGGGTTGGGGGGGCTTCAGGGCAGGGTCCCGAAGGGGGCGGAGGGCTTCAGGGCAGGGTCCCGAAGGGGGGGAGGGCTTCAGGGCAGGGTCCCGAAGGGGGGGGAGGGCTTCAGGGCAGGGCCCCGAAGGGGTTGGGGGGGCTTCAGGGCAAGGTCCCGAAGGGGGGGGAGGCTTCAGGGCAGGGCCCCGAAGGGGAGGGGGGGGGCTTCAGGGCAGGCTCCCGAAGGGGGGGGGGGGAGGGCTTCAGGGCAGGGTCCCGAAGGTGATGGAGGGCGTCAGGGCCTGGATCCCGAAGGGGGTGGAGGGCTTTCGGCCTGGATCCCGAAGGGGGCGGAAGGTGTCTGGGCAAAGTCCCGAAGGGGGTTTACCAGGATTGCCGCACTCCAGCGTGGGATATAAAAGGCGTGGAAAGCATGCTCAGTCAGCAACGCAAGTTCTTATCGAGACGCATGTCGTTGTCCTGAAGGCATGCTCATATTATCGCTGGCTGTTCATATCTCGTTCTCACTCGTATCATTCCTCCTATCACTCTTCTCCGCCTCGCCCTCTCTCCCGCCCCTCTCCCTCAAGTGTTTTTTTGTGCCGCAGTTGCAGCGCAGTCCAACACGCACTCAACCATGCAACGATCGGGCGGCTTAAGCGCGCCAAGCGAACCTAACGCATTGGCTGCAGGCATTCGAATTCACGGCGTGGGAATGCTTTTCACAGGAGCTAAATGCCATGAGTCCCCCGAACAGTGTTCGCACTTGGTCTGTTCTTTCCCCCAACAGTGCTTGCACCATGCCTTTTACTGTTTCATCATATTTTACCATGGCTTGTCTTGGAGACATCTTGGGCTCTCTTGGCGCTCACTTGGCCTTGTCTTGGAGACATCTTAAGGCTATGTACAAGCTCGTTTTGAAAGCCTTTCAAAACGATCCCTGGCAAGGCTCTCGTGGGCCTCTCTGGGTGCCCTCTTGGGGTCGTCTCGGGGCCATCTTGGCGCGCTCTTGGAGCCGTCTTGGGGCCATTTTGGGCTCTCTTGGCGCTCACTCGGAGTTGTCTTGGGGGCATCTTGAGGCCATGGAAAAGCTCGTTTTGAAAGCCTTTCAAAACGAGCCCTGGCAGGGCCTTCTTAAGCCTCTCTCGGTGCACTCTTGGGGTCGTATCGGGGCCATCTCGGGCGCTCTTGACGCGCTCTTGGAGCCGTCTTGGGGCCATTTTGGGCTCAAGGAGGCTTCCAAATTGGCCCCAAGAGCAAGATACACGGAAGGCCTTCGTGTATCTTGCTTTGGTGGGGGTCTCGGGCCGTCCTTGACGGGCCAAGATGGTTCCAAGATGGCCCTGGGGTGCCCAAGATGGCCTTGGGATGGCCCCAAGAGGGCCCAAATATGACCCCAAGGGGGCCTCAATATAGCCCCAGGAGAACCTTACATTGGCCCCAAGAGCAAGATACACGGAAGGCCTTCGTGTATCTTGCTTTGGTGGGGGTCTCTGGTCGTCTCTGACGGGCCAAGATGGCCCTGGGACGGCCCTGGGAAACCCAATTTAGCACCATCCTGAGGAGGAGGAGGAGGAGGAGGAGGAGGAGGAGGAGGAAGAGGAGGAGGAGGAGGAGGAGGAGGAGGAGGAGGAGGAGGAGGAGGAGGAGGAGGGTTTATGGGCAGGGGTGAAGTGATCAGTGCATAACCCCAGAACGTAATTCAGGATGGAGATAATACCCGCCACTCCCCAACGGCTACTCACACCCCTCTCTCTCTGAGCAATGGGACGGTGCCGGGCGCTAGCGGTGGGTCGCGCCAAGGAAGGGCGCGTTGGCCTTCCTGGCTCCTGGCCCTGGGGCCCCGGTTCAGCAGGGGATAGAGGGAGGTAGAGGAGGGGGGAAAGGCAAGAGGCAGAAG